AGAGACCTCAGAGCCCCTTCCAGTGCCTAAAGAGGCTCCAAGAGAGCTGGAGAGGGACTTTGGACAAGGGATGGAGGGATAGGACAAGGAGGACTGGCTTCTCACTGCTAGAGAGCAGGGTTAGATGGGATATTGGGAAGGAATTGTTCCCTGTGAGGGTTGTGAGGCCCTGGCACAGGTTGTCCAGAGAAGCTGTGGCTGCCTCATCCCTGGAAGTGTCCAAGGCCAGGCTGGACAGGACTTGGAGAAACCTGGGATAGTGGAAGGTGTCCCTGCCCATGGCAGGGGGTGGAACAAGATGAGCTTTAAGGTCCCTTCCAACCCAAACCAGTCTGTGATTTAGTGATTCTAAGAGCAGGCATCCAAGGATCAAGGAGCACGTTTGGACATTTTCTCCTCCCAGGTCCTGCTCTGTGTGCAAAGAGGGCCCCTTTGGCCTTTAACATGTGCTTTGGCGTGGAAACCTTGTCCTGTTTTTTTATCATTCCGTATCTGAAAAATGATGTGGGAAAATGAGCCCAGCAATAAAGATTTGGTATAACATGTTTTTATGTAAGGGAGATCTCAGCTCAGAATAGTTAGATGGGTAACCTCTATCCATTCACCACTGGTTTTAGAAGCTGCCTCTTTCCATTTTACAAGGCATGTCACCAGAAAGCAAATACTGAACATTCACTGCATTGCCACCCTGAATCAGACCTGCATTGTCTTCCTTTGGGAGATGAATGAGCAGCGAAGAGAACCTGGATTTCTGCTGGCAAACCTCAGTTCTGGGCTGCAAGCAGTGGATAATCCTGTTGCTTACATGAATGTTTAAAATACTCATTCTGTGCACCTAAGAGAGATTTACCTTGACAAGTTTGCACAGACATGAAAGTGATGTCAATGCTATCCAAACAGTGTCTGCTTTTAAAGGAGATGACTGAGAGACTGTTACCTCCTGTTTGTGAGGTGAAGCAGTGAGTGAACTGCTCCAGCACACAAACAACCCTCAGCTGAGAGCTTCATACATTAGTTTTGTATTTTCTACGAAGGTCATAATAAATTGCCCTCTTGAAAGCTCTCACTTTGCACATAGCAAGAGACTGTTTTCCATTTAGAATAAAAAAAAATAAAAAAAGTCCTTGAACTGTGACTTGTTTGCAGCACAATATGAATTCCTAGTGAATGTGGGGAGGGTGAAAAAAAAGCTTTGGTAAGAATCAAAAAAGACAAGCTGTCTCTCAGTGAGAATTACTGTTGGTTGTGTTTGAGATGTAGGAGGGATCTTGGGCCTCTAAAAGGGGTGGATTTTGTCCACAGCCCAGCAGCAGTGCTCAAAAATGTCATACCCTGGTGTGCCAGGCACTGAAGCTCTTCAGCAGCTCAGCAAGGGAGGGGACAAACAAGATGGAAAATTCATGTACATGGAGGTCTGTGGGGAGCAAAAGGACACCTCAGTCCTGTGCTCTTCTCGGAATGAACATGGGAAGCAGGAATGACTGACCGGTGTCACCTCTGGCTGCTGCGACATGTTGTGACACTGGAACTGAGTGGTCTGAGTACGAGTTTTACTGCATAAGTGAATCCATCAGTGTGGTATAATCTGGTTCAAGGCTTTTTCACACAAATGGCTAATTTTTGAAAAGCCACGTGAACCACGTAGTGAAGGTAAGTTCATCACAGAATCCCAGACTGGTTTGGGTTGGAAGAGACCTTAAAGCCCTTCCCTGCCATAGGCAGGGACACCTTCTATTATCCCAAGTTGCTCCAAGCCCCGTCCAACATGGCCTTGGACACTTCCAGGGATCCAGTCCAACGGGAACTTTAAAATGGGTGCCTACAGAATGAATATAACTTAACAAAACCAATGTATATTCAAAACAATTTCTTCTGAGAGGTGAGAACGTGTCTTTCAGAGTATGGACAGGTGTGGATGTGCACAGATGAACCACACACAAATTTTTGTTATCTCACAACACAACTGTGTCTCAAGTAAGGATTTCTAACGTCATCCCATTAACAAGAGGAAAAGGAGAGCTTTTCTCCCTCTGGCTGAAAGTGCCCAACCTCATCTATTAAGCAGAGGCTCACAGACATACAAAACCATCCTGTTTTCATGGCTTTTGGATGGCACTACCTGAAAATATTGTATGGTCCATAAATGCAATCCTACCCTCGGTTCATTTATAATCCCATTTATTTTTGGAGAATCACTTCCAATCACAAAACTGTAAATTCCAAAACAGTATGGAGGTCTGACTATCCAAGGCAGTTTCTTCATAAGTGTGAGGTAGATTGGAGTTGAAGTGAGTCACAGGGCTTGTCCTGGGACAGTCAAAAGGCATGTGCCACACGTACAGCCCTTGGATTCTGAAAAAACAGAGTCAAGCAAAACCTGCACTTTTCCAAGCAGTTAAGTATTTCCATAACTTTCTTCACAACAGCTTGTAAACCTGAAGGCAACCACTCACCACACTGTTTAGCTCATAACCTGTGTGTGATAAGACCACTTTGGCTCTGGTGCAGGACCAGTTCTTGCAAATAATTCATCTCCTCTCTGGAAACATTATAAACTACTCTGATACTCCTGCCTCGTATTGCCAGCAAAGAAAAAATGTTATATCACCTCAGGTCCCATAACAAGCATCATTTTCTCACCTGCACACCCAGATCAAATGCAGTGACTAGATTCTTATATGTGAAGTCCTCGGCAAGGCAGCCAAGGAATGTGAAAAGATAATGGAACAGGAAAGGAAAGGGAAAAGTTTTAAATGCTTAATGGTGACCACAGAGATCTGTCAAGCTCAAGTAAACTGATACACAGGCACTTGGTACCAACTCACTTCAAAACTCCATGAATCTAAAACTGAGAGACCAAATGAGGTTGAGACCTGAAATTAGGAAGTCAGATATTCCTTTATTCCAATCCAGTGGTGATAAGCAAAGCATTAAAGGATTACTGTGTAAAGGTGGGAGAAGAGTCAAAATTCTTCTCCCTATCATTCTCTCACCTATGTTTCAAAAATACAGAAAGCAGAAATGATTAAATATGTAAGTTAAAAGCAAAATTATACAGAGGATGTCAGCTGAGATTTGATGAAACACAAGGGAAATAACATACCAATTTCTGACCTTAAATAGACTCTTGCTGAAATCCCTGGGAATATTTTTAAGGGACCCTGAAGATGAAACTGTTGGAATTGAGGGTGTGGTACAAATCAGGGTGAACTCACTCACCCTGTGAAGGGGAACACACCTGCAGGGAGGGATCTGTGCAGCTCAACAGCTCATTTACAGTGGACTGGTGCAAGCAATCCTGCACCTGACTGTGAATGAGGGGACAGGTCTGTACAGAAACTGGGGGAGACAAGAGAGGTTGCAGGACATACTGGCTTAAAGAACAGCACCACAAGGCATGTAATGGAACACCTTCTCACTCACTTTTTGGGAACATAAAATCCAGAGTTCCTCTGAAGCTTCCACTGGAGCAGTTGGATTCCTGAGGGAGAATGAATTAGTTGCAAGGAACTGCCATATGGAGAAAAGCCTACATTTATTTAAATTTTTATTTAAATAAAGTTTAAATTGATAAAATTTTTTTATTTATTTTTTTTGTTGAAGACCCTCCATCTTTATCAGGAGGAATAAAAGGGCAGTGATAAATGAGATGGTTGCAGCACATACCAGATGAGAAACAACCAGTGGATATGAAGAACAGAATACAAAACTTGTTAGAACAGTTAAAAGGGGGAAAAAAGCTACATCCTGAAGGAATCAGGTGAAGATTTTTGTCCTACTGCTGGGGAAAAGGTGGGAAGGAATGCTGTAGCTTCTCAGCCTGGTGGCTTGTGGGACAGAACAAACATATCATCAGCCACAGATCACTTCTAAGACTTAACTGCTACTCAAATAAATGTGTCAAAAGGCTACACAGATTTAGTTTGTAATTTAATTAAAGGATTAGCAAAGTTTTCTTTTCCAGTGTAGGAGCTATTAAGAATAGGAACTTGCATAGAAGATCAGCTCTTTTAACACTTAATTGCATTAATAGAGTCTGCGTTAGGTGAAGTACTGCAAATAGAGTGCAGTATTTCACTTTATGCAGAAATACTTCACTGTGCAATGACATGAACTCAAGGTATGCATAAAACACAACCAAGGGGAGCATAAACATGACAGATACCAGCTGTGGGGAAGGAGGGTGGTCCCACTGGACCCTGTGCTGCCTAAGAGCTGGGAATATTCTTGGAAAAGTCAGCTTGGCATACCTTGGTGTTGTGTTCTTAGCATTATTAAAACTTAATTGCTTTGAGATCAGTTTTGAAAGAAAAAATCCAAATTATCACTCCCCCATGAAGCGCTTTTTGGGTAGACTGGATTAAACCCAGACAAAAATGCTGTTTTGAGGCCTTATTCTTGATTATCCCCCACTCCCCTCTTTGATTCTCCTCCCAAAGCCCTTTTTTTTAGCACTGAGTGAGTGTACTAGGCACTCGGAGTCTGACCAGCTGCTGGAGCTGTCCCATGCCAGGACACACCTTAAGAAGGATCCTCAGCCTTCCCACTGCAAAACAAACACCTGCCCTATGCATCCCACCTGTGGCTTCATCCCCTGTGGTGGATCAGCCTGGAAAACCAGACCTTTCCCTCTCCCCTCCTCTCCAGCACTGGAAATCCAAGTTGACTAAACATCCCAGCCCTCTGAGGGGCACGACTGTGGTTTGTTCCCTCCTCCTCTGAATAAGAACTATAAATATGTGCTCATACAATGCATGAAATGTTCTGGAATGCCCGAAGACGAGAGTCAATTTCTAATGTGTTGAGCAGAAGGAATATGCAAAGAAGAATATTTCAGTATGTAGGCAGAGGGAACAGCTCAGTACTTGACTGAAACTTTTATTTAGTGTTACATAAGACTGAGATAATTATATCTAGTAATCTTCCCAGTATTCAGGACACTCCGAGTTTTAAGTCACCCTAGATATTTGGATTATTATGATAAAAAAAAAACAACAACATTGATTTCTACTTCTTTATTGCAGATTGTGCATTTGATATTTGCTGCATATTGTGTTTTCCAATCCCTTCTTTCCCAAGAATCACCCATTTTCTTATAGCATAATAAAGTCATAAAAAGTGACTGCTTAAAAAATAAAAGAAAAAGGGTTAAAAATTCCATTAACATCAGAAGCATTTTTCATTATTATTACTAGTGGCAGCTACCAGAATTTTAAATAAAAATGACCTTACTTTATAACACCTGAAAAAACACTTTCACTTACATGGAAACTTTTGGAAGGAGAGCAGTAAAAAAAAAATAAATTACAGATTCCTTGCAAGTTCAAAAGAACATAAATATTTGAAAACTATAAATGCCTTATGTTTCTCCCCACAGTTCACATATGGCTTAAACCAGTCCAGTCTCAGAGAATACACAGCATAGCCTGCAAGGCCTTGCATCTTACAAGTCAAGACTATTGTTTCAGAAATTGCTTAAGATTTTTAAGAAATTAAGAAAATATCCTTTGCTTTCTACCTATCTCTGAGTCTAGGCAAGGGGTGTGTATATATATATATATATATATATATATATATATATATGTATAATGTAATTAAGGAAGTCCCACTTCTCTCAGTGCAACACAATCCACCAAACCTTTATTTCCGTAGGAAACATATCAGAACTAGCAAGGTATTTCTACTAAAAGAATAGAATCAAATTCTCAGTAATTTTACATGTAGTAGAAATATTTGGATAATTTACTTTCAGACAGATTTCAAAAATAAACATTAACTTCATTGTAGTAAACACACTTTATCGCAATACCTGACCGAGCTGACATTGCAATGATCTTTAAATTGATTTATACACTTTGTAAACATATGTGGTAGGCATATTCATGTAATTTCTATAAATACTGCTGGAAAACTTTGCAACACAAAGAGAAATCCTCTGGAGAATTACTTCAGTGACAGATGTTGTCTGCCAGCAATAGAGGTAATTGTACTGGTAATGTATTTTACTCTGCGTATTCCATAATGACTTTTTTATATAACCAAACACACAAAGGCAGTGACAGTGCACCCAGCCCTCCCTCTCCTCCCTCATCAAAATGCTCTGCCAGTTTTTGCTGCTCACCTGTGGCACTGTGATCTCTGAAGATGACACCTTCAAGACAAGATGGACAAAGGCATTAACATTTTTCTGTTAAGAACAGAGAAAAGAGAACAATGAAAAAGCTTACGAAAGTGATAAACACCACCTTTAAAAAAAGGGGTAAAACCCATGAAGTGCAGAAGTTTTTCAAGCAGACTGTACCTTGATGTATAGCAAAAAGCTGTATTTTTCATATGAATATTAAATTTTAACCACGTCAATACCGTGCTGGCACAGCAGTAGGAGCTAATGCCTTATGCAGGTTTCCAAAAATATTGATATTTAGAAAACAAGATTTAAACACTCGTTTCTTGAAGCAAACCCAAGACTAGCATGAATTCCTGCTATGACAAAGACCCATCTAAGCACAGGCCACTTTTCTTTAACCTTACACCTTAAACTTACAGAATAAAACCTGTTGACTCAGCACACAGACAAAACTTTATTACTCTGATTTAAAAATAGGGCAGGGCACATCTCCAGGATGATTCCACTACCAAAACTGTACTTTAAATTCTTTTTAGGATGAAGCCTAATCATAGAATCTTAGAATCATAGAATCAGTCGGGTTGGAAAAGACCTCCAAGATCAAGTCCAACCCTTGAGCCAACACTGCCATGGTTACTAGACCATGGCACTGAGTGCCACATGCAGTCTCATCTTAAAAACCTCCAGGGACAGTGAATCCACCACCTCCCTGGGCAGCCCATTCCAATGGCCAATCACTGTCTCTGTAAAGAATTTCTTTCTAATGTCCAACCTAAACTTCCCCTGGCACAGCTTAAGACTGTGCCCTCTTCTCCTACTGCTGGTTGCCTGGAAGAAGAGACCAACCCCCACCTGGCTACAACCTCCTTTCAGGGAGTTGTAGAGAGTGATGAGGTCTCCCCTGGGACTCCTCCAGGCTAAACAGCCCCAACTCCCTCAGCCTCTCCTCATAGGACTTGTGCTTGAGTCCCTTCACCAGCCTCGTTGCTCTTCTCTGGACCTGCTCCAGCACCTCAGTATCCTTCCTGAACTGAGGGGCCCAGAACTGGACACAGCACTCCAGGGGTGGCCTCACCAGCGCTGAGTACAGGGGAAGAATCACTTTCCTGGTCCTGCTGGCCACACTGTTCCTGATCCAGGCCAGGATGTCATTGGCCTTCTTGGCCACCTGGGCACACTGCTGGCTCATGTTCAGCTTCCTGTCAATCCAAACTCCCAGGTCCTTTTCTGTCTGGCTGCTCTCCAGCCACTCTGTCCCCAGCCTGTAGCACTGCAGGGGGTTGTTGTGGCCAAAGTGCAGGACCCAGCATTTGGTCTTGTTGAACCTCATCTCGTTGGAATCAGACCATCTCTCCAGCCTGTCCAGGTCCTTCTGAAGAGCCCTCCTGCCTTCCAAGTGATCAACACTCCCCCCCAACTTAGTGTCATTTNCAGCGCTGAGTACAGGGGAAGAATCACTTCCCTGGTCCTGCTGGCCACACTGTTCCTGATCCAGGCCAGGATGCCATTGGCCCTCTTGGCCACCTGGGCACACTGCTGGCTCATGTTCAGGTTCCTGTCAATCCAAACTCCCAGGTCCCTCTCTGCCTGGCTGTTCTCCAGCCACTCTGTGCCCAGCCTGTAGTGCTGCAGGGGGTTGTTGTGGCCAAAGTGCAGGACCCAGCATTTGGTCTTGTTGAACCTCATCTCGTTGGAATCAGACCATCTCTCCAGCCTGTCCAGGTCCTTCTGAAGAGCCCTCCTGCCTTCCAAGTGATCAACACTCCCCCCCAACTTAGTGTCATTTGCAAATTTGCTGATGGTGGACTCAATCCCCTCATCTAAATCATCAGTAAAGATATTAAACAGAACTGGGCCCTACACTGATCCCTGGGGGATACCACTAGTGACTGGCTGCCAACTTGTGCAGGAATGTGCTGGAACTGCAAATAAAAGAATAATAATAATTTAAAAATAAAAAAAGAACAGCTTCTCACTCTCTCTGAGGACAGTGAATAAAACAGCAGCTTTAGTAATTAGCTTGTATGTCTACAAGAAACCTTACTGGGATAGCAAGATAACCTCCACTGCTGGACTCAGCAGGGCTAGAAACAAGCAGTTGTTTCCAGTGTGATCACAGACATTACAACGCTGCTGTGATTGCTTTGTTCTCAATAGTATGAGCAAACAGCAATACCACGTCTACCCTTAATTGTATTTCTTCACTGTTTTCACTGCATCCAGGTCTTTTTTTTTCCTGTCAGAGCATAGTCTGACTGCTCCCTTGAGGGAAACGACTAAAAGCACATTTAGCACATACAGGAATTTAGCAATGGCTCATTTATTCTCTTTGATAACTCTGGTCAGAGGCCTTTAGATCCAAAGCCCTGCATCTGTGCACATTAATAACAGAGTATTGCATTCATTAGGTTCCACAATGTCTGGTTTAGATAAACACACGTGTGTTAACACAGCCTGAAAGGCTAATTTTCCTCTTCAGCTCTTGCAGTTTAAGTCAAGGCATTGCAGGGTCTGGAAGGAGGAGCTCACATTGATCGCCGCTATTTGAGTGGCAGACAAAGTATTTGTTTAAATGATGTTTTGCCATCTGATGAACCCGGACTGAAGTGTTTGTTTAACATTAGCAGTTAAAAAATTGCAGGTAAAAAAATTGCAGGTAAAAAAGTTTTCTGCAGTCCTTCAGCAGCTGCTCCAGTGTGGGTCCCTTTACAGGTTCAGTCCCTCAGGAATATGTCCGCCAACATCATGGTCCATTTTCACAGCAACATATTTAACCTGGTTATTTACAAGGGAAAAACAATTTGGATATCATGTTCCCATGTGAAATTTGGCATTGATAACCGGAAATAAAAATACACTTCTGCATTTTTCAGCTTTGCCCTGTTCCTGACAGAGCACTGGGGCTGCACCAGCTGCACAGTCTGAATTGCTCCTTTCACTCACCCTACAATACTCCAAGATTATTTTCGGCATTAAGTCTTTATCCAGACCATGCCAGAGAGGGACAAGATCAGGAGCAAAGGGTGCTCTAAAAAACCAGTGAATTTTAAATGCATTAACACTATAACAAGAAAAAAGGTCTCTCTAATAGTACCCATTCTTACCAGTTGCACAGCAGTACAGCACAGCTGAGACTCAGCTACATTCTCCTAACACAGAGAAATATTTCTTTAGAAATTGAAGTTCAATAAAGATGAAACACATTATTTTATTTATAAAATATTTACCTAATAATTTATCAGTAATTTTTTTCATATTTTCTAAACATATTAGATCCAATGCCAGTAGACATTTTGGAATTAAGAAGAAGGGTGAAAAGGGAAGGGATGTGGAGAGAGAAAAATTACACACAATGCAGCATCTTTTATCTCTCAGAAGGCAAAAAAGTCAACTTAGTGCACCAGAACTACACCCTGATAGAATCTATTACTCTCCAGACCTATATTTTGCACCTCCAATATCTTCCATCTTTAACCATGATCTGAGGATTAAAAACTGTCCTTTCTTTCATCTTCAGGTTCACACATACTTTTCCACTTCTGCAGTTCCTGAGAATCATTTATCTTCCACGCTTCAGCAAAACACTTCATTTTCTTTCTGAAAGAGAAAAAAAATAATCAAAATACAGGCACGTTTTTAAATTAAGCACATCAAACCTTGAAAGCCCTACAGTCATCTGCAAAATTTTATACATAGTTAAAAATAGCACAGCTCAAAATGTTATGTGATCTTCAAATGACCAGTTAATATTTTCTAAGATACATGTTCCTGCTCTAGGTCAGCCAACAAATTAATTTTATAACTAACTTACAGTACCAGAAATATTGACAAAATGATACAAAACACTGAGAAAGAGTAAATTGTTAAAGGAAATAAACAGCATTGTAGTTGGCACTGTTTAATTTTCATCACTCAGTCCCTATAAATTTGCACTCGTAGAATCATAAAGAGAAAAGGCATGCTCAATATAAATGAGTGCACACATCCGTCTGATTTTCTTCTTAGTGTTTTTTGATTTATAAGAGCTGTGACAAATAACAAGACATTTAAAATTGGATAACACACATTTCTGATGACAAAGATGTCAAAACTGGATGAAATTACCCAGTGGATTTTCTGAAATAATATGAAAGTGATTTAAAAAAATAAGACAAGGCATCTGGCCCATGAGTATTGTGAGAGCACAAATGCATTGCAATGAACAGGTGTGAGGTTGATTTGCAAGACCATGGTTATTTTATGCACCATACCCACTTTTAACGTTGTTAACATCTCTTTTGGGAAGAAGGCACAGGGACTCCCCTGGCCCTAGTGATGAGACAGGACAAAGGGCTCATCACAGTTTTAGAGTAAGTATTTGTCCTTTTCCACTCTGAGAATATAAGCAAATTACCTACCAAAACTAAAATACAGATGGCAGCTTTCAGATCCAAAGGCTGAAAAATGGGACACAATCAAGTCCCTTAATTACTACTGCTCAGTCAGCCCTCAAATCTCCTCTCTGACCACTCTAAATCAGGCTTCCAGCTACATCATCCCATACTATTTTTATTGCTCATGGGTTTTGTATGCAATTAACACCTTTTTTAGCAATGAAGACATGCTAGAACTTTCTTGCACCCTGTCCAAGTAATATGCTGGCAAAATTTTTACAGAAAAAGATAAATGAAATTATTTCACATTTTAGCTTTATTACCCAGTAACTCTGGCCTTCCAGCTTTCACTTTTCTTAAGAATTTTTTCTTGATTTTAGAACCCTATGTAGCCTATAACAACAGAGTTAAGATATTGCTAGTAATTTGTTGTTTTACTTTTGTCAATTATGGACTATTATTTCCAATTAACATAAGCTAACACATTATTTTTCCCATAAACTGCCATGTACCTTCGAATAGAATGTTTTTATTTTGCTTTATTAGAAGGGGATAAGAACCACTGTTAAGCACCAAGAACTGTTGAGTTTCAAAATAACTGTTTGCACCTATAAATAACTAGTAGTCACAATGTTCTCATACGAAATTATTCTGTCAGGATTAGCTACAGTCACAGACAACCAAGATCTTGATTTATTATGTTCCTAGAGAGGCTATCTGAATTTTGGTCATAGAGCTGCCACTGAAAATAATAGTAACAAAAAAACTCCCAGTGGAAATGAATATGAATATAGCAAATATTTATATCTAAACTGTGTACACAATGTTACAAGATTTAGAAGGATTATGCTATTTGATATATATGCAAATTTTCATAACTAGTCCAATATATAAGGTACATATACCCTAAATGAAAACTGGATATCAGAAAAATGTTAAAATCCCCAAACTTTTAGTAAAAATTTGGACTGCTTGGGGAGCAAGCAAAATATATTATACATATTTTCAAGTTAAGTCAGAAGAAGAATATCCACGTTCCCTTCTATACTATAATATGCAAACACAGTTTCAGGTTCCAAAGTAAGAAAGATACTTCCTAAATTAAATTAATTAATATTTTCAGGATCACTTGTGAGAACAGAAGTAGGCATTAGAGAAGGAAATAATTTTTAAAAAGTAACAATGCTCTGACCTTTTCATATTCACTATTTTCTCCAACTCCTTTGATTTGTGAGCTGCCTTTTTCAAGATTTCTTCAGGAATATCTGCCAGTTTGGCAACATTTAGCCCATAACTCCTTGCTGAGATTCCTTTAATTATTTGATAAAGAAAAGTGATAAATTCAGGATTCTCTTCAACTTCAGATCCTAAAAAAATAAAATCAAAGTCAAAACCTCCTCTATGAGGCAAATACAGAAGTTCCCTGTCCTGATTAGCTCACAATATAAGCACATAATACAATACTAAGCATTATTTAGGGGAAAGGTTAAGGGCAAACAGCATGGTAATTAAAAAAAAAAACATAAAAAGTTCCAAGAATGATTCAGGGAACAAGCCTTTATGATGCCTCCTATAATTCAAGAACTGGTACCATCAAGTGAAGGTATATGTTTCAAAACAGTTTCAAAACAATAATGTGTTTTGATGTCCACAGAACACCAAATTTTGGATCTTCCTGACACAGCAGGATGAAGACAATAAGGATACACAAGAATAAACTGGGCAGTCTTGTTGAAATGAAATCCAAAACATGAAATACAAAACAGCAGGAAACACAACTTGCCCTTGAAGGCCCATAAATACCAAATGTTTGCACACAGAGAGATCTTTCAGAAGGAGCTGCCATATGTTTGATCCCTAATCCCTGCTCCCTAATCCTTTGTGTTCTGCTGCTGTGGAAAGTTGGATGCTGGGCTGGGTGGATCTTTCACCTTGCTCAGTCATCCTGTGTAAAACATGAGAGAAATGGATTTCAGTTCCCCCCAAAACTGTGTGTGTATGACACATGTGCCACATAAGGCTGACACTCTGAGTTTGGATGCATTGCGTTCACACTGAGGTGTCAATTATCACAACAATTTTGATTTATGCCCATACCTACAGTGCCTGAGACTCACTCAGGTTTATACTGTACCTTTTTGTTCACCGGTTTCCTCCTCATTCACCAGGAAAGCCATGTGGTAATTACCAACTTTGTCTGGATACAGCTTCTCCAGCTCACAAACCGAGGGATAGTGAGTGACAAACAGGGTCAGGGACTCCACCTACAACAACAAATAGACACATAACAAGGTTTGGCTCTAATTTTTTTTTAAACACAGCATCACAGAACTGGTATCCCTTATCCACAGTACTTTGCTATGAACTAAGACATGCCACATTTCTACAAGGAAATGCCAAAGTCAGCCTGCAAGGCTGAAAAAGTGTTCACAGCCACGTGCCAGATGAACACTTACATCTCTAATAAAGTGTTCAAGTGTAGCATAAGCAATGGCAATTCCATCGTGTGTGCTTGTCCCTCTGCCCAACTCATCCAGGATCACCAGGGATCTTGGCGTGGCTTTTCTTATTATCTCGGCAGTATCTGTCAGTTCTTCCATGAAGGTACTTCGGCCTTTGTAGATATTGTCTGCTGCACCCATTCTGCATTAGGATACAGAACACACCAACTTGTGAAAAATGTCAGGTCATGCTGGGAAAAAAAATCATGATGATGAAACCATTTTGATATAAATTTCCTGTTGCTGCTCCAAGCAGAGCAGAAGGACTCAGCCAGAACATTCACCTTCCAGATCAACTGCTCGGCACACAATTTTCCCACCTTCACAAACAGTCCGAAAAGGACCTTGGGAATTCAGGCCAAGCAGCTCATAAGAAGAACTCCAGCAAAAGTAGCTATAAAGATGAATTTTACTTCTTTGGTTTAGTTTGACCATCTAATTTGTATGGTTTCTAACGCTAATAATACCCAAAAATATCAGATACTAGCATTTCCACATGGAGTGGGCACATGGAGTGTGACCAGGTATTTTTGCATACAAACACACAGAGCAGTTACTTCCTTCAGGAAATTACAACACCCCTCCCCCCGACAATTATTTCCCCTAATTACACAGGTATACAATACCAGCATGCTTAAACATGATTTTAAGAGATTTTAAGATTTTTCCTCCTCATTCTTTTAAAACACAGCTGTCCTTGGGCTGTGAAGCCTCCAGCAGGTGACCTCCCCAAACGCAAATTCCTCCACATTTCCTATAACTCTTTTATCCCCATTTCAGACTCATGTAACCCTCAAGCCTCAAATTCTACCTTAAATTGTGAATTTGCAGTTTTCATCTCAGAAACCTGATGAAATTGTTAGTCCACTCCTTCTCTTTTTCTGCAGCTTTCCTTACCTGTTTAATTAATACACTTCCACCTGGAAGAATGAACATTTTCTTTTTCCACTTAATACTTTTCAATTGTGTTAATCTCTTTACAGCATCCCTTCTGAGACAGGTTATCACCAGCTCCCAGTAAGGGATGTAAAACTGGGTTTATTCAGTCTTATCAGCCAATATATAATTACATACAAACCATACTGATTTAAGGAAAATTTGGTTTAGTACATTGTGTTTTCTGAATTAAATATATAATTCAGGATATTGAGGCATTGCGAAATTAACATTTTATTAAGCCACTTACTGTTGTAATCCTTTTAAATGCTGCGTTAAGAACAATGAGCATATTAAAGAATTTAATATTATATTAAAGAATTTAAGGTCCTGCTGTAAACTCAAACAATCCCCCTTCCTGCACAGATCTACAGAGGACAGTATAATTGGTCTATCTTAACACTATTAACTACAAATACGTTTACCAGAATGACAAATACTTTTTATGTTTGAACAATCTCTCTCCATAATGGGTAACTTTAACCTTAGTTTCCAATCCTAGAATTATCAGTATTATTATTTTCTCATTATTTATGTCTTTTCATCACAGAGGCAGCATCTAACAAGCTGTCTGTGTGTTCTGTGGTGATTACACTGAGAGCTCTCAGATCTACTTTTCTTTTGGATTGCAACATTTCCAGAGAGTCAAATCATTTTAGTTGTTTTGTATCTAATTTGCATTCACAAAAATAATTTTCAGAACTTCCACACTAAATGTTCAAGATACAAACAGAAATGAGCATTATCTTTCCCCTGTTGCTAGAAACAGCTGCAAAAGAAGCCTTTCTTTTCAGCATCTTAAAACATTCAAATCTGACTAGGGCTTATCTACAGATTAAAGTGTCATTTTTAAATGACATAAAACCTCCTAAATGTCGTCCTTTGAAAATGGATAAAATTGTTCTTTCTGCCTCTGTCCTTAACATTAAAAGAATTATACTTGTTCTTTATACACAAATGCTAAGCCATATTACCCCAAAAACAAGAATAAATGTTTTAACGTGATGATTGCATCTATAAAACCAAGGCATTGCTCCCTAACTTTATATTTCCTGATACAATAAAGTATTTGACTCTAAACACCTATTGCTCAAACAATTTTTTTTTCACGTTTAAAACAGCCATAATAAATCCCAGCAAACTTCTACAAGATTTAGTCACTTTAAATTTCCATTTTAATGTATCTTGCCTCCTAAATGTTTTTATACATTAAAACATTAAACTTTTCCCCATAATATTCTGCCCATGAGTGCCTCTCTAGTGCTGGGAAGAGATCCATCCCTCCTCAGCAGACGCAGTTTGGCTAGAAGCCACTTGTTATAACTTTGACAGCCAACCAAATTTTATAAAATTAAAAGCTCTTCAAAGATGTTCAACACATTTATTATGTAAACTGTAAAAAAAGGGGAGGCATTATCTCTTTTCAGTGACAGGTTCAAGTAGCAAAGATTCCTGTCAAAGGCCTCAGAAAAAACAACAGGGAGGCCATGTTTTCATAAATTAATTTCTGGAGCATAAATTCAATGATATTACTGTGCTACCTTTCTAAAGAAGTTATCCAACATGCTCTTAAATAGTTTGGTTATCAAATTAAGAGCACAGCGTGGACCTCAGGTATTTTATTACACTTTTATTTTAGTGAGAATCTCTCACACTGCTTGTGAAAATGACAGGCAGCCCAGGAGCTCCCACTGATAAAAAACCCAGCCACACATCACCAAATGAATCCTGGAAAACAAGACTGCAAAACCATTATTTTCACACAGTTGTCAACATCCTGATGCTATTTATTGATTCCTAGTTTATAAAACACTTAATGCTGGGAAAAAAAAAGCAGCTTAAATTACATTTTCACCTTCAGTAACATCCACTTGAGTTTAGAAGTTCATCTAAAATACTTACTGGAGAAATAAAACCAAGTGTGTGTTACAGAAGAATAAACCCAATTCAAGAACAATTAACATTAAAAGGAAATTACTCTTTTCTTTGAGAATAAGGTGTAGAACACTCTCAGCATTAACAAGAATCACTTTCTGTGATTCAAAGATAACACTGAAAACAACACAAGTAAAATAAATTCATAATGTAACTTCACAATTCCAGTGAAAAAAACCTTTGAAATGTCAATTCAAGGACATTGCATTTGAACAGGAGTAATTCAAATTAAAATAACTAGTTTACAAAAAGAAAGGATTAGATTTGCTCCTGCCTTGCAGTTCATCCCTTTTCTCACATGGGACTGTTCTCTACAACCGGTTTTTGAACAACAATATATAGTTAATTTTATTTTTTTTTAAATCTCACAACAATTGTTTTGCATCCTTTGGCAGTTTTTTTGCAGAAAATACTCTTCCCAGCTGCAGATTTGTGTGGTCTCTGCTGAAAACAAATGGTTGCAAAAGTGTGAGTATTAAGATGTGACTGAAGATATTGTTTATGACAACAGAAAAATTTGATATTGATCCTGACACAAGTGGAAGGACAGTAGAAAAATTTCATTTCAACACTTAAACTTCTCCTATTGAATTGGGTTAAACAAACAACACCTACTGAGACTTCACAGATTAAAAAAAATCAAAATTTTCAGATTGGTCTGCCAAGAAGATGAGAACAGGCATCTCAAATGGAGGAAGAGCAGGATGGCTGCTCCAGTCCCAAAGTGTAACCAGAACAATTGTTCAGTTTTGCTCACAAAAGTGGCTTGAAACCTTGTGTATTTCAGAAACACTCAGACTTCTAACAAGAATGTCACATGGTGAGTATGAAAGTAGCCCAACTTGGATTTTGTAACTTCTATCTGCTTTCCACAAACAATGAACAGGTATTAAGTAATTCCTTTGAAGATCCCATGTGCAAATTTGTAACAGTTCACTGGCAAGAAACTAATGCTTCACACTCCCCCAGAAAATACTGGCTTGTCATTCACTTCATACCCATCAAGATCTCACTGATTCAAACCAAAAACTGACACTAAGAAAAACAATGTACAGAAACTGTAATTACAGAATAAAAAAGAAAAAAAGGCAAGACAAAAAGCACTGTTATCAGGACAGTTATTAGTTTTTCATTATTCACGGTGACCTGTAAATATATACAAACGTACATGGATGAGGACAGGAAATCAGAAGATGCTCATGATATTAACCTGTTTACTGTCAACATGCACACACCTGCTCAACCATTTCTACAACTGCTTCTTTGCAAATTTTAAATGAAGAAATACTAATGGCATGTTACCCAGTTTAGAAGAACAGTTGTTGAGAAGCCTCACAGAATGCATTTAATATAAAACGCATTTTTATTTTGTACATTGTTGTAGATATGTGACCTGCTTGTTCACTGAGAAATAACAAAACTATTAAAACCTAAGACTCCTATGGATACAAACTTTGATTTACCCTGGAAAGAAAAGCAAGTCCAAAGTGATCTCAAACCTCAAGTTTCATAGCAGTTTTTAATTTTTTTTTCCCTTTTCCCCTATCATTGGATAATTGAAGTAGCCAGAACAAGTAGTCACTTAAATGCTTGTTTCCTTCTAGACCTGTCCCACAGGGGAATCCTGCACACACAAGCACCCCAGTATATTAAAAGAAACAGATCTAACAGGATTAACTTTCAAGATGTGAAGTGCATTGATTTTTTTTTGCTGAAAGCCAGAAAAAAGAAAAACATCCATGGATTCAACATTTTTAAAAGCTTCACCTTGACTGACAGGACAATACTGAGCTGGGAGGACAAGAACACCAGTGGAGTCAATACAGTCGCTAACAAGGAGTTACCAGAATTCCCTCATTCCTAGTGCTTTGTAAGGCAACAAAAATTCGGTTGTTTTACAAAAGTTTATGTTACCTTACGTAGTGAAGAACACCCAAGAAAGTTGTTTTCTGAAATTCAGCAATGAGACCCTCAATAATATGAAAAGTCCTTAAAAATACCTGTTACCTAACCTGGGGAAAATAATCACTCACTCCTGAAATTATCTATATGTTACTGATGGCCCAGAAAAAGACCAAATCTGTGAGTACAAACATTTTGTTAAAGGATAAATTATAAGCTCAGACACTCAAATTAAGGTGTTGATTTGAGAGTCACCAATGTTAGCCTGAAAAAGATGAAAAAATTAAGACAAAGAAAAACCCAACCCTGAAATGTATGCAGGTTTTCACTGTACTACTGTCAGATACCAGTGAGGTAACTCAAGGTAAT